TTATTATTATTATTATTATTATTATTATTATTATTAAATAAACGCAGTCCGTTAAAAATGTCGTTGTCGCTTGAGATATCTAAACTCGAAAGACAGAAGAGGTTTACTCTACTTTCCGTCTTCCGCTTCCTCCGCGGCCGATTGAAATTGTAAACAATCCATGCCCAGACTTGTCCATCAACTATTGTGACCAGTTGGAAGAGAACGAGGAACAGGCGTTCGGTTTCTTTCAACTATCCAGCGTTTAGTTTGTATCCAAGAATTGAGGGGGTATGATCTGCTTTAACTTTAACGTAGTCTAACTGGGAACTGTTTTAGTTTCTTCCTTTTCTTCTCCTTCTAAGACTGGGAAGACTATTGACAATTGACACTATTATTGTCATTGACTTCAGTAGTCAATAGACTTGATTGAATAGAGGCGGCCTCTGCAACCTATCGTCCTACATTCATGATGACTAGATCTAGATCTAGAATCTAGATCTAGATCTATTCTTGTCTAGATCTAGATTCTAGATTTAGAATCTAGTTCTAGGAGGATTAAATCTAGATTATATGAGACGCATTATTTATTTTGATTTGCCATGAGCCTGCCTATTGAGGTCAATAATAGGCGATTTTTTTGTTGTTTCGTTTGTTAAAGTCAAGACTTGAGTATGTTATATCTGATGTTTTGCAGTTAGGTTGCGTCCCTGCTCTTTGTGTAGCCTATTTCAAATAGTATTTGGTCATCAAGACTTCTGGATTTCTTCTCTGGATGTAAACAAACGAAACAAATGGATCGTGGACTTTAACTAGATCTAAATCTAGGTCTAGATCTAGATATAGATCTAGATCTAGATCTAGGCACTTGGATAAAAATTTCAATGCTTTCAAATTGCTTTAAAAACAATACCAATGCAAAGAGCTCAGTAATGCGATTCCAACGCTACCTTAATTATTGCTCTATGTTGAACCGTTTTTGAGATGGCATTTTAAAGATCTTTTCGAGGTGAAAAAATTTACATAGAAAAAAAGGAAATTTTTGTGATCGAAACAGCAAGAAAAATAAGGGAAATGACTGTTAGCTGCTTCAGTCTCTGCTGCGTACA